TTAGGATTCAGCATGCCCTCAGACTCTGCTGGACCTCAGCATTCCCTTGATGTCAGTCCCCTTCACTGAAGAGCCTTGCCTTTCCCCTCTGCCCATTTCCTTTTCCTCTCCCAACCCTCTGGTTGGTGATTCATTCAACTAGGGCTTCAAGACTTGGGTAAGCTCTGGGCCTTCACAGAATGATGGCACCTTCCTAAACCTTCATGGGTGGTGTCTGAGAGGCGTGAAGGGCCTGGAGCCACCCTGCTAGAAGAGACCAATAAAGGGCAGGTGTGGAAACATGGCCAGCCTCTGTGCGTCTTCTTTGACAGGGGGCAAAGAAGTACAAACTGCAGGTGGGATGGATAAAGGAGTGGCTAGCACCCAAAGCTTTGGGAGGGGGAGGCTCTGATGGATCACGCGATGCCCTAATTACTGACTGGAAAGCAGGCTCTGGTCAAGGTCTGCAGTGGCAGTTGGAGTTACGGGAAATGTGAATTGTATTATTGCTTTACATACAGCTCTTCTTCAGAACTAGGGAAAAAGAGAAAGTGATAAGGTAGGTGGGAAAAATGAGCCCTTTGGTTGATGATACTGGGAGGCCGTTAGGAGGATTTCAGTCTGGAAGACATCAATAGCACTGTGAGTACTGAGCCAACTAGATCTGACTTGTGCCTTGGGAAATTCCCGGGAAGTCAGCTTAGTTAATGTTTACCGATAGCAAGGGCATAGAGGGTGCAGTTACTGAGAACACAAAGAGCACTTTTTGTCCTGACCATCTTGTTGAGTACCATTTGTTTTTGATCCTTTGCTAGACTGACTCTCCCTCCTTTTTTAAGTTCATGGGCCAGGTGCAGTGGCTCCCACCTGTAATCCCAACACTTTGGGAAGCTGAGGCAGGCAGATCACCTGAAGTCATGAGTTTGAGACCAGCCTGGCCAACATGGTGAAACCCCATCTCTACTAAAAATACAAAAACTTAGCCGGGCATGGTGGCACACGCCTGTAATCCCAACTACTCGGGAGGCTGAGGTGGGAGAATCTTCTGAACCTGGGAGGTGAAGGCTGCAGTGAACTGATATGGCACCACTGCACTCCAGCCTGGGCAAGACAGGGAGACTCCATCTCTAAATAAATAAATAAATAAAGTTCACATTACACTCTCATTCTTCTCAAACTCACATATTCACAAATTTAGGCTCGAGACAAATAGAGGCAGGAATGATAGGACTCCTTTCTTCCTCCATAAGAAGGAAGGGGGGATGGGGCTAGGAGAGAGACTCCCTTCAGAGTCAGACTGTTTATAATCTGCCATTTGCAACATCATTGTTCCTTATTGTGAGGACAGTTTTGCTCAGAGCCATGCAAGGATGCTGTCCCCAATTCCTCATCCAGTGCAGACTTAATCCACACATACCACCAGCACCAGATTCTACCTTGTTCTGGAGGAGATACCTGCTGAGAGGCCCCACAGACCTCATCCTGGAAACTTCTCATTTCACCTTCCCTTCTTTGACCACTAGATGGAATATTTTCACTTCCATTCACTGAAGCCCTGACGAGACAGTTTTCCAAACTGGACACACTACTTGAGAATCCCAACACTGAGGGGAAAATGTTTTTCCTTTAACCGCTCTGCTTACTCTGTTTTCTAAGCATTTCATCATCTGAGAGTGAATGTGAAACATGTCTAGGATCCCCACTGTCTGACCTTCAACTAAACCTGTCATGAACAGTCTTTATTTCAAACGGTAACCTGAATATTACGGTGGGAATCCCCTGGTACCATTTTGCAGGGCCTTCTGCTAAATTAAGGCTACCTTTAACTTCACTCTTGAAACCTCAAGCCTTTCAGACTCCTGTTTTATTTCCCATTTTGTTTTTTTTGAGATGGAGTCTTGCTCTGTTGCCCAGTTTGGACTATAGTGGTGCAATCTCGGCTCATTGCAACCTCTGTCTCCTGGGTTCAAGCGATTCCCCTGCCTCAGCCTCCCAAGTAGCTGGGACTACAGGCGCCCACCACCATACGTGGCTAATTTTTGTATTTTTAGTAGAGATGGGGTTTTACCATGTTGGCCAGGCTGGTCTCAAACTCCTGTCCTCAGGTGATCTGCCTGTCTCAGCCTCCCAAGTAGTGGGATTATAGGTGTGAGCCACCGCACCCAGCCTCAGATTGCTGCTCTTAAAGCCCACAGCTGGGGTATGAACTTTTTGAGACGTTGTCTTGCTGTCACCAGGCTAGAGTGCAATGGTGCGATCTCCCCTCACTGCAACCTCCGCCTCCTAATTCAAGCTATTTCTCCTGCCTCAACGTCCTGAGTAGCTGGGACTACAGGCGCACGCCACCACACCCAGCTAATTTTTGTATTTTTTTTTTTTAGTAGCGATGAGGTTTCACCATGTTGGCCAGGATGGTCTTAATCTCTTAACCAGGATGGTCTTGATCCGCCGACCTCAGCCTCCCAAAGTGCTGGGATTACAGGCGTGAGCCACTGCACCTGGCCTGGGGTATGAATTCTTATGGGGCAGGACCCTATATACTGATTTTAGAAAAGTAACTGCAGACAAATTGTCTTCCTGATGAAATAGAGAATTCTTGTTGTATGCTAGTACCCTATGCTCATCATCTTGACGGTGCCATAGCCTATTAGTACATCCAGTAACAGAGCCAGCTAACTCGGATGCTGGCAACGTGCTACAGGCAACTTAGAGGCTGACACACCAGTACAATGTGTTCAGTCTTTCCCTTGAGGCCCAAGTTCAAAGAATTACTTAAGGGATTCCCAAAGGAATGGGAATTACAGTATAAGTGATTCTGCAGAAAGTCAGAGAGGGCCATAAAGCTAGAATGAGGGCTCTTCACTTGGGAGGGGAAACGCGATTTGCTTCAGACAGAACCTGATCTATTTGGCTCAGGAGGGAACAGGGAAGGCAAAACTGGACGTTCCAGTTTTACAAGGATGTTTGGCTTTACTAAATCTTTAGTTGTGCTGTTGTTAAAATGAAGAGAAATTAGAAAGTGTTTCCTTTATTCTTCATCTTGTTTGTTCCCCTTTTCCTCAGAAGTATTAGCCTGTGGTCAACAGACAAGGCCAAGCTTTAAAATATTACCCACTTTTCTAGATGAACAAAAATCTTTTAATCAAATTTCCTACGGGCACTCAAAAGAAGCAGGAAGTCTCATCAACAACTCTCCCAGAAATGCTGAGGTAATGCTATTCAATTCAGAGGAGGGACAGAGAGAATCACTAACTTCAGGGCTCTTACCAAACAAAACAAAACAAAAAAACAGAGTTTGGAACAAGTGATTTTAGGAGGCCAAGGTATAGACAGTGAAATTGATAATTATCTCCATGACTATGTTCCCATAGCTCTGTCTCTCTCCTTAGTTTATGAGACACTGAGGCCAGGTGTCGTATGGTGGCTCAAGCCTGTAATCCCAACACTTTTCGAGGTTGAGGCAGGAAGATGCCCTGAGCCCAGGAGTTTGAGACCAGCCTGGGCAACATAGTGAGACCTCATCTCTACCAAAAAATAAAATTGGCTGAGCATGGTGATGTACACCTGCGGTCTTAGCTACTCAGGAGGCTAAGGTGGGAGAATTGCTTGAGCCTAGGAGTTCGACGCTGCAGTGAGCTGTGACCACATCACTGCACTCCAGCTGGGTGACAGAGTGAGACCCTGTTTCAAAAAGAAAAAACAGAAAAACACTGAGCCAAACTCTAGAACTTTCTTATAATCACCATGACAACCATCATCCAAACTACCATTCACTGAATATTTACTATGGGCTCAGACTGTGCTAGGTACTTTATGCACACTAGGTTATTTATCCTCACACAGACCCCATGAAAAACTTTTATTTCTATTAAAAGAAAAGGTAATTGGGCAAGACACTTGCCAAGGACAAAGAGCTTAGGAAGCAGCAAAGCTGAAAGTTAAAGCCAGGTCAGTCTGACTCCAAAGCCTCTACTCTTACCCACAACAGTGTTTTCTTCTAGCTCAGATTTTTCTTCATAAAGACCACTGACAGCTGCCTACAAACAGCATTAGATTTTAAAATCATTAGATTTTAAAATTATGTGGAGGTATGATGGTTTCTATTTTCCACTGAAGAAACTGAGGTACAGACAGGATAACTGACTTGCCCAATATCCCATCATTAGCAGATGACAAAGCTAATTCTAGACCCAGCCCTTTTAATTCCCTTTTTATTCAACTATACTGTATCTTATAGTAGTCTTGTACTACAGTAAAAAAAAAAAAATACCTTTTTTTTTTTTTTTTGAGACAGAGTCTTGTCCAGGCTGGAATGCAGTGGCACGATCTTGGCTCACTGCAACCTCTACCTCTCAGGTTCAAGCAATTCTCCTGCCTCAGCCTCCTAAGTAGCAGGGAGTACAGGCGCGTGGCCCCCATGCCAGGCTAATTTTTGTATTTTTAGTAGAGACAGGGTTTCACCATGTTGATCAGGCTGGTCTCAAACTCCTGACCTCAAGTAATCCACCTGCCTCAGCCTCCCAAAGTGCTGGGATTACAGGTGTGAGCCACCACTTGCAGCCAAAACATACATTTTTAAACTGAGAGCCTCAAACTCAGTCAAGTAACTAGCCCTGCTCACAAAATGAAACCAAAAGGACTTTTGATGTACTGAAATAACGACAGTGAACATAAACCTCTTCATGGTAACTTACAAATAACAAGCCATATCTGGTTGTGGCCAAGCGATCTTGTGTCAATTAATTAGAATTGGGAGAACCTAAAACCACATGAGAAAGACAGATCTCGATCAAACAAAACAATAAGCACTGGCTGAGCTTTTAACTTCAAGAACCTAACTAGCCAGACCTGTGCATCAGAGAACAAGAGAAAAAAGGAGTGCCAGGATAAGTCCACGTTTCCTATTATACCCACAGCTGATTTCTCTTCCTTCTTATATCTCAGGAAGGGAAGTAAAAAGAAGAGCCATGTTTTGCCCAATTCCCCTTTATTTGAACAGAAAAATAAGGATTCTCTGAAACTGGGTTCAAGAGGTCTTTATTCTATTAGATCCACAGAAGAACCTAGAAAATGATAAAATATCACAAAAACAGCACAACATTGGTTTACCAATAATGAAATATATAAAGGATCTTAACGTTTTAAATTTTTGTAACATATAGTCCAAAACAAATAATTATGCATTCTGCCATAGATGAGGACATTGGCAGGTCATATAAAATTATACTCTTGAGCTTCAAATGACTAAGTTGGAAGCATTAGCAAGCTCAAGGAAGAGGCAATTTAGAGGCTATAATGGGCTTAATGCTGCTATTTAAAGTAATGAAGCATTTTCTCTGCTTTCTGGATTCATTTCACCAAACGATTTCCTCAGCGGGTCAGATATAGATTTGCAGCAAAATGAAAAACATTTTCCAGGAATAAAACAACTGATCCCTACAACAGCTGACTTAACTTTTCTGAATAATAAATCTTCATCTGACATGTCCAGATGCCTCAGAGTGCTGTCATTGATATTCTCAACCTCTTCCTGACCTTGCCAGATCCTTATACTTCATATTTGCCAAACACTATTACCGAGAAGGGGTCACTGCACTAGCTGTGTGACCTTAAGCAAGTTATTTAACTTCTTTGTGCCTGAGATTTTTGGGCTCTAAGTGATACACTGAAATAAAGAACAGTGAACATAAACCTCTTCATGATAACCTAAAAATAACAAGCCATATCTGGTTGTGGCTAAGCTATCAATAGCACCTACCTCATGAAGTTGTTAATGAGGAATGAGTAAGTGCTTAAAAAGGTCTTAGCACACAGTAAGTACTTAATAAACCTCAGTTATTATTTTTACTGTTATTCAACAAAGCTTTTTCCTGATATCTACAATGAATACTTTGCTCATTTCTTTTTTCTTATAAGCCAAGCCTTAGTTCAGAATTTCCAGATCTCCAAGATATGAAGAAGAAACATTTTTGTTTCTAATGGCTGACCTTTTAAATTTAGGTCTCAGAATAAGCACTAACTGAAGCCACCTCATTGTATCTAGTACTTTGTATGTTTTCTAAAGTATTTTACATTCACTAATTCATTTAAATCTTCTAACAATGTGATGAATATATAATATCAATTTTTATTAGTCCAATTTGATAGAAACAGGACAATAAAGTCCAGAGTAATGCTTTGCTTACTGACTATACTGCTAGTAAATGGCAGAAAGGCTTAAAAGCCAGAGTGTATAACCTCCAAGCCAGTGCTCATGCAACCATGCAGATACTCTAAGATCCCTTTAGAGCAAATGAAACCATTTCTCATTCCTATTAACTAAAGTCCACACTGTATTCAGATTTCCGTAGTTTCTACCAAACGACCTTTTTTTTTTTTTCTGGTACATAACCCTGTGTAGGATACCACATTACATTTAGCAGTCATATCTTCTCAGGCTTCTCTTGGCTGTGACCATGTCTCAGATTTTCCTTGTTTTTGATGGCCTTAATAGTTTTGAGGAGTACTCGTTAGGTATCTTATAGAATACAACTTAACTGAAATTAGTGTGATGATTTTCTCTGATCAGACTTGGGTTCTAGGTTTTTGGGAGGAAGATCAAAGCTAAAGTGCCATTCTTATCACATTCTGTGTGCTGTGATGCTATCAAGGATACATGCTATCAGTAGGGCTTATCATGGATGATGTAACCTCAATCATCTGGCTGAGCTAGTGTCTGTCAGATTTCTCCACTGTAAAGTTACTCTTTTCCTCCCCTTCCATATTACACTCTTTGCAAGGAAGTCACTATGCAGAGCCCACACTAAGTGGGAAGTATCTACATAAATTATTTGAAATTCTTCTGCACAAGACATTTGTTCTCATTCAATCATTTATGTTAGTTTGGACTTGTAAATATTTATTATATAGTTTGGGTTATAATCCAATACTACTTTATTTTGTTACTCAAACTGCTCCAGCTTTGGCCATTCAGAGATCCTTCAGTTCGAGCCTCTGTCTGTTTGACATACTCCCAATCACTGTAACTTTTTTTTTTTTTTTTTTTGAGACACCAGAGTGGGGTGCAGTGGCATGATCTCAGCTGACCGCAACCTCTGACTCCCTGGTTCAAGCAATTCCCCTACCTCAGTCTCCTGAGTAGCTGGGATTACAGGCATGCACCAGCACACCCAGCTAATTTTTGTATTTTTAGTAGAGATGGGGTTACACCATGTTGGACAGGATGGTCTTGATCTCCTGACCTCATGATCCACCTGCCTCAGCCTCCCAAAGTGCTGGAAGTACAGGTGTGAGCCACCATGCCCAGCGCCCCCCACCTTTTTTTTTAATTTCAGTACTTCAGTTTTCGGTGGCAGAAGATGCTCTAGGCTTATCTTGTATATTTCCTGTCCGAGTTCTAGAATTAATTTCCAAGGAGCCCTGGTTCCTTTTATTGGAAACCAAAATCTGGGAAGGTGTGTTCCCATTCTAGTTGTTTTCTGACCACATAACTGCTAACAAAGATGCTTCACTGGCTACATTGATATGAACTGTAAACTTTAGCAGAAGAGCTCAGCTCTAGAGAATAATGATCATCTCCTATGTTACTTTTTTCCCCAAAGAATAAATAAGTCTAAGCAGAAAAAAAATAGGCAAAGAATTTTCAGTATGAATGAAAAGGACAAACCATCAGGCTTGCTGTACTGTAAACCAACCCAACATAGCTATAACAGATCTGCAGAAGGATTCTTAGAATAAGAGAGTCATTTGTCGGGGGTCATCAGGGAGAATACTGATAGTATCTTCAGCTTTGCCACATAACAGACACAGCATGGTATACTCCTAGAACAAGATAAAGTGCATAATTACCTTGAGGAACAGGGAAAAAGATGCTTCATAACTTACTCTGGTTAAGATGTTCTCTACAAATTGTCATGAATACTCTTTCTGTAAACTGGATCCATTTCTTCAACATGTATCAGCAATGTCTTAGGCTTATTCTGTATATTCCAGAGCCTGTTGTTCATATATATTGATACATAAATGTCATCTTGGAAATACGTGGCTATTTCTCAGACTTAGCACATATATTTGGCTTAGGGCTGCTATTTAAAGCAATAGAGCAATTTGAGTATGGGTCCCTATGGACAAATTTCTATTCTTAACAGCTGTTCCTTTCTAGGATATTTAACATGAATACACAACAGAAATAATTTTTTAAAAGGAGAAAATTCCCAAACCCAAAAAGCTATTTTTATCTACTCTAGGAAGATCAATAATTATGTTAAATTCACTAGTATGTCGTGCCTCATTTTCAGATAGCTAGTTGTCTGGAATTTGATCCATTTAAGAAGTTTTGCTTCCCAGGCTTAACAAATACCCAGACTAGTAACAGAGGTGATTTTATTTTAGGCAAAAACCCTTAGGCCAAAGTTCTATTCTTTTTTTTTTTGAGGCAGGGTCTTGCTGTGTTGCCCAGACTGGAGTGCAGTGGTACAATGATGGTTCACTGCAGCCTTGACCTCCTAGGGTAAACTGATCAACCCACCTTAGTCCCCCCAAGTAACTGAGATTATAGGCACGTAGCATCACACCTGGCTAATTAAAAAATTTTTTTTGTGGAGATGGGATCTCACTATGTTGCCCAAGGTGGCCTCAAACTCCTAGGCTCAAGTGATCTTCCTACCTTGGCCTTCCAGTGTCAGGATTACAGGTGTGAGCCACTGCACCCAGCCTAAAGTCCTATTCTTATAGTTGTCCCTTTCTAGAATATTTAACATAGTCATAAACTACAGAGACATATTTCTTTGAAACCTTTTGTTTAAAAGTCTTTTATCTGCTGTATGAAAACAAACATCTATGTTAAGTCTACTAGAATTTCCACATCTGATGCTGCGATTGCTAGCTGTTTGGAAACTGATCATTCAAGGCAGTTTGTGTTTTTTGGGTTTAAGACAATCACTAGAGAGGGTCACAGAGGTAAACAACGACTGTGGTACAAAGAAACAGGAGCAGGCAACTGCCTTTTCCATCTTCTAATGGTGAGTTCAGGAGGGGACCTTAGTTATGGCAGCAGAAAGATTGCTTTTTGAATTAAAAATAAAATAAAAATACATCCTCTTCAAGGCCTTTCCTGCTGTCAAATACTTCTACTGCTTTAATGTCTGGTGGGTTAAAGTTTTTTACTGCTTTCACCCACCAGACATTACTGGGATGGCAATCTTTTACAGGAAAAGAAGAAGGAAAAAAGTAATAGAGTCAAGAAGAGAAAATGTGTGAGGCTAAACAAATACTTGAGTTTTCAACCAATCTAGCCATTGACAAATTTATCCTGAGCGCCTACATGCTCTGCAATGTGCTAGCAGACATGAAAGAACAAAGTCTGACTTAACAAAATTTGCAACCTAACTTGGGAGGGGAAAAAACCTAATAGATAATCTGGCAAGATTATTAAATCAGTGAGACTGATTACACCTGTAATCTTTATAGGCAGTCTGGAAACCAAATTTCATTGCAAGTCAATTATTTGGAATTCAAAAGCAATTTCCCAAAGAATAATGTTATACATGGTGGTTAGGTTCTCAGAAAAATCCACAAGTCTTTAAAATTTATATTGTTCAAGTATCATAGAATCTATCCATATATAGAAGTGCTTCTGTGGGAAAACATGTCTAGAATTCTAACTTGGGATGCCAGGAACACGTCTCCCTGTGCTGCCAGGAATATGATGAGATGAGGACACCTTTTATCAAAACCAGCCAAGTAGAGAAAATAATTCCCCCAGTCATTCATAGGGACTCTCAAAGCCTCCAACTGTGCAGAGCCTAGGGGAAGAGATTTGGAGGGAAGAACAGAGTAGTGGAATCACTTTGGAATCTGAGTAAGAACAGGTTTTGTTTTTTTTTTTTTTTAAATTCTGAGGGTCCCTTTACTCTTTTCCTCTATTACTCCCTGTTAATTCTGACTCCAAGTCCTCTCCTTCCCTGGCTCACAGAGCAACAGAAAGGAGTCTCATAGTTTCCATATTGTTTCTTGAAGTAAACACACAGTACATTTTGGTCAGGGGTTGGGGTGGAGCTTTCGCCAGGGGGATTTTTTTTTTTAAATAAAGGATACCTATAATAATTTATGATGCATTTTCCATGTAAATTATGTCTCTCTGTCTCCACTTTCCCCCTAGTCTTGCCGTCAGAAAATCCTACTTTGTTCAATGATGGCATTATGGCTGTTTTAAAAACAGAATCCTTATCTTTTAGAAAGGCTAATGAAATATTTACAAAGGTAGTGATATGTTTGGAATTTACTTGGAAATAATCCTATGGGGAGATGTGGGGATGGTGGAGTATAAATAAAGCAACTTGAAGCTGGGTAGTATATGTTAGGACATGATTCTGCCTACTTTGGACTATGTTTACATTTCCTATAACATGTTTAATATAAAACAATGGTGGCTTGGAATCCCACCCTGAACTTGAACTACTGCTAGGATAGGATAGGGAGGCTGGGGTCGGGTGGGGACAAGGACAGTAAGTAATGGCAGCTGAGAATGGAGAGTTCTTGAGGCCATCAGGCTGAGGTAGAAGTTCCCAAGTGGCTATTCACTAGAGTCAGGGCCTGACATAGGTACAAGAAAAGTTCAGAAAAGGGAGAAGCTGCATGAGCTTCAAGAGCAAAGAGGAGATGGAATTTGAGTTCAGCTAGAAAGAGGTAAGATTTAGCTGGCTTGAAGGTAAGAGAGAGGGATAATTCAAATCAAGCAAAAGTCATGAGTATGGACAATAATATGGAAAAGAGCAGGTGCATCACTTACGTCGTAAAAGGGAAAGGAAGCTGCACTTGGTTTGTAGGCAGGGGAGTGGAGGATGACATGCCGAAGATTAACTTGATGGCAGTGTGCAGAACCGCAATCGAGGGAATGCTGCAGTAATTCAGGCTTCAACGGGTGTGGCCCTTGACACAAGGTGTGGGGGAAGAGCCAGAAAAAAAAGTGGGCAAAACAAAGAAAAGAGGGCATGAGGGGTGTAGGCATGAAGGCTAGAGAAGGAAATGTGAAAGGTATTTAATAGGTCTCAACTGAGACTGAGTACCTGTGTGTTCACTACATGAAAGAGCATAAAGAAGGCTCCAGACCACAGACCAAAAGCTCAGGAGTATCACTTAGGGAAAACAGGAAAGAAAATGAAAGAAAACACAAAGGAGCAGTTAAAATTATTTAAAAAGGAAAAGAGTCAAGCACTATGGATGGACCTCAAGGGCAGAAATGCTTCAAAAAGACAATAATGATTAATAAAACCAGATGCGGAAGCCATGTGAGAGAGAAAGGAACTAAGGTAAAATAACAGGATTTGGTTAGATTATAGGAAACCTACCAGAGAATAGTTTTAGTACAGTGTAAATGAAAACCAGTTTGTAGGTAGTGAAGAGGAGCATAGGGAAATAAGGAAAGTCAGGTAAAGACCTATTCAAGTGGCCAGGCAATGGCTCACACCTATAATCCCAGCACTTTGGGAGGCTCAGGCAGGAGAATTATTTGAGCCCAGTGGTTCAAGACCAGTCTGGGCAACAAAGTGAGACCCTGTTTCTATAAAAGATTTTTTGAAAATTAGCCACGCTTGATGGCTCGGCCTGTGGTCTCAGCTACTTGAGAAGCTGAGGCAGGATTGCTTGAGACTGAGAGGTCAAGGCTGCAGTGAGCTGTGATCATGCCACTGCCCTTCATCCTGGGTGGCAGAGTCAGACATTGTTGAAACAAACAAATAAAACCTATTCAAGTAAAGAAGCAAGAGGAAGAAGAGATGATTATGGGATGAATCAAAGTACACTAGAAGGAGAGACAATAACATGAGATTCCTGAGGAAAAGCAGTAGGGATAGCATGAGAGAGGAGTAAATAAAAATCTTCCTCTCTAAGAGGAGAGGAGCAGGAGTCTAAAGCTGGGACAATGCTAAGTATGGCATACATACAAAAGTGTAGTGGGAAATAGAAGGGAAGCTGGGCCAGTCCAATGAGAACCTTAAAATGAGGAGCTTCGATACTGCACTGTAGCTAAAGGTGGGCTACAGGAAGGCCAGTGAGGTCACCTCAAAGTATCATTTATTTTTATTTTTTAGTAGAGACAGGCTCTCACTATGTTGCCCAGACTGTACTCAAACACCTGGCCTCAAGAGATTCTCCTGCCTCAGCCACCTGAGTAGCTCGAACTATAGGCACACAATACCATGCCCAGCTTTGAAAGATTGCTTAGAGTCACAATGCTAGAAACTATGAAATGGTAGTGAAAAAGACTCTTAAACTAGACTCTCTACTCCCAGTATACTCTTCCCCAACATCTACTCCCCCCAACTCATATTCCATACTCTACCATCAGATTAATTTTCAGATTAAGAGATTTATCTTTAAAATCTCTAGCTTCACAGAGGTTCAGTGTTTCTCCTCCAACCTTGATAAAAACCAGCTTGTAACTTTACTTAACTAGTAATATTATAATGTCTTACCACAAATGAGACTTTACATGCTAACTTGGGAAAACAAAGATAACCTCCTTATCACAATTTCCATGCGGGCAAGTATGGTCGCGGTGGACAGCCCACCACTTAAAGCCCACAACTGTGCAATCACATAACTGGGCAGAAAAAAGAAGCACAATGGCAACCTCCTAAGAAGCCAGAATGTGCTACTATTCTTTATAAACAAAAATGACAGAACTGAGATATCATTTGTAAAGTATACATTTTGATTTGTGACTCTTGTGAAGGGAGGTTTGCACAAATCCACCCACATCTAAAGTTGTCTCTCAACTTGCACAGATATATGAAAGGCATGGGACTGGGAGCAGTGGCTCATGACTATAATTCCAACACTTCTGGAGGCCAAGGTGCGAGGACTGCTTGAGCCCAGGATTCAAGACCACCCTGGGCAACATAGCAAGACAGTATTTCCAAATTAAAAAAAAAAAAAAAAAAAAAAAAAGGAGAGGCATATGTCTCTTTTAACATGTTAGTACTTTGCACTTCATTTATGAAAAGTATATTTAGATTTTCAAGGGCACTTTTATTATTCCCCTAACCTCCCCATAACATACGCATACTTATATTTACCTGAAATTCATCCATGATACTGAATGTATACTCATGTCTGGCTATTACATGATGACAATTCTTACACAAATCTGCTAAAACAAAGAGAGACTTATTATGTAATTAAGTCTTAGAGAGTTTCTTAAAACTTCTATTAAAATTTCTATTCTCAGCATATTACTTAAAGTCTGTCATATTTAACATAGGTGGAAACCCATTATAATATCTACCTTGATTTTTTAAAAATTCAGAATCTGCCACACAGCAACACTACATAATTAAGAGTCTGAACTCAGAGACTTAATATGCATTTATTGCCACAGAAATCTCTTTAAGATAATCAGTTAAAAGATATTTAAGTGTGTTTTTAAACTAGCCAGATCTGTTTTTTTTTGAGGCAGGCTCTTACTGTTGTCCAGGCTGGAGTACAGTGGCATGATCATGGCTTGCTGCAGCCTCAACCTCCCAGTCTCAAGTTATCCTCCCACCTTAGCCTCCTGAGTAGCTGGGAGGATAACTTGAGCCAGGGAAGGGCTCAACACATGCACCACCACACTCAGCTAATTTATTTGAATTTTTGTGGAGGTGAGGTCTCACTATGTTGACCAGGCTGGTCTTGAACCCCTAGACTCAACCAATCCTCCCTCCTGGGCCTCCCAAAGTGCTAGGATTATAGGTGTGAGCTACCTCGCCTAGCCAAGCTGGACCTATTTAACTATGTAAAAGCTTTTATTATCATGAATAATAGAAACTGCATTGTTAGAGCCAATCATAAATAAAAACCAAAGCTGGACATTAAAGCTAATTTAATGGCTAAAAAAAGAATCTAGTAAAAGCAGTGATGTATTGAGTGCTTACTGTTTTAAATATTTAATCTTCCAAAAAACCCAACCAGGTAGATACTATCATTACCACCTTTTTAGAGATAAGAAAACAAAGGCATACTTCAGCTAAGTAACTAGGAAGACTGCTGAGCCAGGAGATAGGGGAACCAAAATTCAAACCCAAACAGCCTAGCTCCAGAGCCCTTGCTCTTAACCACTATGTCCTATTGCCTAGAATGAAATACAGTCTAAAGAAAACAAATGCTAAAAAGAAAGAAAAAGATTCTTCTAGCTTAAAACATTTTATTGTTTGTTTGTTTGTTAGCTTAGAACTTTTTTTATCATCTGACTCCATTCTAAAAGCTTGGTGCCTTTCAGACTCCTCCGTCAAAATATTACCTGCACATTTTATTTCTCATGTATTCAGAACGTACCTAAGAACCAGAAGACAAGCAAAAAAGGGAACGTGAATGGCAAAATACTTGTCACAATACCTGGGCACTGAAGGAAACATATACTTAACTTAGAGAAATCCTTAGTGCTAACCTCAGAATTGATTTTTTTTACTTTATTTTATTTTTAAAAGATGGGGTTTCACCATGTTGGCCAGAATGGTCTCGATCTCCTGACTTTGTGATCTGCCCACCTTGGCCTCCCAAAGTGCTGGGATTACAGGTGTGAGCCACTGTGCCTGGCCAGAATTGATTTTTTTATACATAGTTTATTCGGTTTCCCAGTATTGAGGACAAGGAGCAAGATATGAAGGCAGCTTATGATTTAGCAGCAAAAGTAAGGAACAATAGACAGTGAGATTGGAGACCAAAAAAAGCTTGACATTCCTAGGAGAAACAAGACTAAAAAAACCACTGCATTCCTGAAGTCACTTAATACAGGGACAAACAGCCCTATACACTTTAATAGCTGTTGGAGGATATCACAGCATTATACTGTAGCAGAAAGTGAAAACTCATGGATGACCCTAAGGTCATAAGAGTAACAAAAATAAAAAGTATATCTTGTTAAGGCAGTGTAAAGGTTTTAAAAATATGCCTCTGAAAAAAAATTTGATGAACAAAAAATTTCAGTGTCTCAATCACAAGCTTTAGTTATTTGCAAAAGTCATTTACATATACTATTTGATGATACCAGATAAATGAGGTGTTAACAACATTTTCCTCTTAAAAACCTAACTAGTAACCATGTGTGCAATACAATATTGAAATAGGCTTCAGAATATTTTGCGTAACATATCAACTTCCAAAAGCTGATACCTGAACACTCAGGTTAAAAAAAAAAGTCTGCTTACGGTCATAGGTAACTATTTCTTCTCCATCTTCTTCTTTCAAGGATTTGTTTGTGATAAGCATAAAATCCCGCTTATTGCACACCGCACAGCCTGTAAAGTTCAGCAAGAAAGATCCATTCTCAAGGCAGGTGTTACCCTATAATATTAGAAACAGGAGTTTACTTTCTTTACATTTCAAAATCTTTAGTGAAGATGATTAATAGACTTAAAATCTCTAAAGGCAAAACAAAACTAAAAAATGGCCAGCATTTACTTCTAGAAGTTATATACCAAATAATTTTTGAAATTACTAGCTTTCCTAAAGAAGTGTTATTCATGTTAAAAAAAAAACAAAAACGAAAACAAAAAACACAACTAAAGCACAGTGTTAGATCCTTAAGTCTCTGAGGACTTCCTCTATGTTGAAAAGAGAGGACAAACTGCAAATAAATATTTAGAAACAACTTAAGGAAATCTTAATACAAAATATGAAAATAGAAAATTAGGAAAATTTAATAGCCAACAATATTAAACAAAGCATATCAAAACCAGAATTCAATCAAAATAGAAACTGAGTTAATGATAAAGATGATCTACTATAATGCTTAGTTGTTTGTTCAAATAGTTTTGATCCTTGATAATACAAAATATATGAACAAAAGTAAACTCTCAGCTCTATCTAAGGTGTCAGTACTTAAGGATACATGTAATAGAGGCAGAGCTTTTTTTTTTTTTTTTTTTGCTGAGATTGGGTCTTGCTGTGTTGCCCAGGCTGGTCTCAAACAATCTTCTCACCTCAGCCTCACAAGTATTGGGATTATAGTCATGAGCTATAGTTCCTAGTCCAAGGGAAGTCTTTGCTAAGGGGCTAGGGGACAAACAGCGGGGGGCGGGGGGGTGTGACTAAAAATCACTCAAATCAACATTTCTCCAGCGCAATTAAAATTACTCTACATTTTTTGCTCAGAAATGATTATTTATAAAGTGATTTTTAATTTTTTAAAAATTTATTTATTATACTTTAAGTTTTGGGGCATATGTGCAGATCATGCAGGTTTGTTACACAGGTATACACGTGCCCTGGTGGTGGTTTGTTGCATCCATCACCCCATCATGTATATTAGGTGTTTCTCTGAATGCTATCCCTTCACAACCTCCCCACCCCCTGCTGTTTGTCCCCTAGCCCCTGGCCAACACAGTGAAACCCTGTCTCTACTAAAAATACAAAACAATCAGCTGGACATGGTGGCGGGTGCCTGTAATCCCAGGTACTTGGGAAGCTGAGGCAGAACTGCTTGAACCCGAGAGGCAGAGGTTGAGTGAGCCAATAGCTCAACTGCACTCCAGTCTGGGTGAAAGACTAAGACTCTGTCTTAAAAAAAAAAAAAAAAATTCTAACCACTCAAAAAGTTCCTTCATGCTTTTCAGTCTATCTCTAACTTCCATCTCACCTCATACATCTACTGACCTGATTTCCATCTCTACAGTCTTGCACGTTCTAGAATTTTATATTAACAGAATCAGTATACTTTTTTTTTTTTTTGGGACGGAGTTTCGCTCTTGTTACCCAGGCTGGAGTGCAATGGCGCGATCACGGCTCACCACAACCTCCGCCTCCTGGGTTCAGGCAATTCTCCTGCCTCAGCCTCCTGAGTAGCTGGGATTACAGGCACGCGCCACCATGCCCAGCTAATTTTTTCTATTTTTAGTAGAGATGGGGTTTCACCATGTTGCCCAGGATGGTCTCGATCTCTTGATCTTGTGATCCACCCACCTCAGCATCCCAAAGTGCTGGGATTACAGGCGTGAGCCACCGCGCCCGGCCCCAATATACTCTTATATTCCAACTTCTCTTGCTCAATATAATGCCTATGTTAATCATCCGTTATTGTAGATATTGGTACTTGGTTGCTTTTTACTGCCAAATAGTATTCCCTGTAGGATTCATCTGTTGATACACACTGAGGTTGTTTCCATTTGGGGCTATTATAAATAAAGCAGCTATGAAGATTCACGTGCAATTCTTAGATGGACATGTTTTCCTTTCCCTTGGTTAAAATCTAGAAGTGGAATTACTGAGTGATATGGTAAAAATATTTAACTTTACAAGAAACTGCCAAATGGTTTTCCAATATACACTCCTGCCAGCAATACTAGGTATCTTTTTATTTTAGCCATTCTAGTGATGTAAAGTGCTATCTCATTGTAGTTTTGTTTGTTTCCTTGATGACTAATGATGTTGAGCATCTTTTCATGGTGTTTATTCATATATCTTCTTTTATGAAGTGTCTACTCAAGTCTTTTGCCCATTTTCAAAAAGTTAGGTTGAGTTATAATAGTTCTTTATATACCTTAGATACAAGTTTTTTCCCAAATATATTTTCTCCCTGTAATTGATTTGCCTTTTTTAATGGTGTCTTTGGATGAGTAAACAGTTTTGATTTTTATAAAGTCCAATTTACCATTTTTTTCTTTCATACTTTATACTTTTTTTCTCCTAAGACATCTCTGTCTACCCCAGGGTTGTAAAGAGTTTCTTATGCTTTTTTTCTAGAAGTTTTATAGTTTTACTTTGTAGGTTTAGCTTTATGATCTATTTTGAAATAATTTTATATATGAGGTAACGATCAAGGTTTATTTAGTTCCACATGGATATCCAATTTTTCTGGCAAGATTTGTTGAAGACTATCTTTTCCCCCACTGAATCAGAATGGTGCCTTTGTAGGAAAAAGTTAATGACTATACATGTGGGTCTGCTTTGACTATTCTGTTCCCTTCATATACATATCTACCTACCCACTACTATCAAACTCCCCTGATTACCATAGTTTTATAGTAAATCTTTAAATCAGGTAGTTTATGTCCTATAATCTGGCCATTCCTGGTTGAGTTTCATGTGAATTTTAACATCAGCCTTATACACTTAAAAAAAAAAGTCTACTGGAGTTTGAATTGGGGACTGCCTTGAATCTATGAAAGCTGACTGCCAAGGACTCCAAAAAATTAAGGAAAGCAAAATAGTTTTTAAAAAGATCTAAATGCCAATTTCAAATAAATAGGACTCTGAACTGGACTACAGCCACAGACACAGGTTCCTTGCACAATGTGGCCTAACCTCTGTAATCTGAGTAATTATGCCTCTTGTAAGTAGAAAGAATGTGACTCTAAGGAAACACTAAAGAAGAGAAGTATCTATATATCTGTTGTCTGGTAAGTAAATGCTTCAAATGGCAAAATACAAGTATAACATACAAGAAATGGATGGGACTTTCTAGAAGAGCCCTGGTCATTTGAAAGTAGCAAGAGTAACCTTCATCAGTGAAGCATAGCTTTTATTAAATGAGGCAAGACTATTAACATCCAAATTTGGAAAAGTAAACTAAAGCACACATTACTCAGCGAAGGTTTTGAGGCTCCCATAACAGGTAGAAAAAGAATGCAATTCAAATCAATTCCACAAAAGTAACAGTAGACCCTAACAGTTTCAAGAAGAAAGTCAACATGTTAAGTACCCTTAGAAAATGTGATTCAGATAAATCCTGGTTAAGGATTTGTAAAGGTATACAAGTGTGCAAGAAGAAATGGCCGAAAATTATGAGGATAATTAGCATAAGAGTATGTTATAGGCCAGGCACGGTGGCTCACACCTGTAAGCCTAGCATTTTGGGAGGTCAAGGCGGGTGGATTATGAGGTCAGGAGTTTGAGACTAGCCTGGCCAAGATGATGAAACCCCATCTCTACTAAAAATACAAAATTAGCTAAGTACAGTGGCGTGCACCTATAGTCCCAGCTACTTGGGAGGCTGAGGCAGGAAAATCACTAGAACCTGGGCAATGGAAGTTGCAGTGAGCTGAGATCGCACCACTGCACTCCAGCCTGGGCAATAGAGTGAGGCTCTAAAAAAGAGTATGTTATAAAATCTTGTAAATGTGAGAAAGCTGTAATTATTCTGATAAAGACTGCATCATTTTTTTCCCAGCAATTTATTTCAGATGGTACAAGTTAATAGTGAATGTATATATTTTGCCAGGGAATATTTACAAACAGAAAATACAGTTTTTATTAAAGAACCAATTTTTGGTTTTGTTTTCTCTATTGTATTCTCTCAGTATTTTCTAGTCTAATCCTTATTATTTCCTTCCTTCTACTTGCTCTGGGTTTAGTTTGCTCGTTTTTCCATTGCCTTTTTTTTTTTTTTTTTATTGAGACATGGTCTCACTCTGCTGCCCAGGCTGGAGTGCTGCAACCTCCACATCTGGGTTAAAGTGATTGTCCCACCTCAGCCTCCCAAGTAGCTGGGACTACAGGCACACAAAACCACACCAGGCTAATTTTTGTATTGTTTGGTAGAGACAGGGTTTCACCATGTTGGCCAGGCTGGTCTCAAACTCCTGATCTGCTTGCTGCAGCCTCCCAAAGTGCTGGGTTTACAGATGTGAGCCACCGCACACGGCCTGTTTTTTCATTGTCTTAAGTGGAAGGTTAGGTAATTGATTGAAGAGTATACTTTTTAAACATAGACACTTATAAGTTTTAAGATGTAGAGTATCATTTTAAGGCATTCTTACATACAACTGTTTTACTAATTATATATTACTCATTTAATTAAATCTGGTTTAAGGTTATCTACTAAGCAACAACTTGAGTGTATGAAGCTTGGTGGCTTATCTTTAAATGAAAAATATAAAGCATGTAATTGTAAATTTAAACATATCACTAACACTGATTTTTTCCCACTGTTAATCTAATAATATATTTCTGTATTGCTGTTGCATTACTAACAAAATTTAAAGCTGAAATTAAAATATATGAAATATGTTTCATTTCCAGTTTGATATGAAAAATACCTTATTACAGTTTTGTGCCTGTTCAGTAATTTTAGAATATGCATAATTCTAGTTCTGACTGGTTTGCTAATGCTTTTCTGAAGGAAAAAAAACGTGGTTCACAGTTGAGTAAAAAAATTTGGGTTCAGAAAATTAGTGTGATTCATTTCCAACTTGACTCATGTCTGAGTTCAAATTCTCAGTGTTAACGTTACAAGCAAGTATGCCAGAGCCCCATTAGGAATTCAGTACTGTATATTTCTAGTCTGTAAAAATAAATCACAAAATTCCAAACTTTATGTAATCAAAGATAAATAATTAACTAATACTTACTCATTCTATATTTAGAGCTTCCCAACAAATGAATTTGTTTTTGTAAGTAGATTGGGTTTTGCTCTGTCGCCCAGGCTGGAGCACAGTGGCGTGATCTTAGCTTACTGGAGCTTCGAACTCCTGGGTTCAGGAAATCCTCCCACCTTATCCTCTTCCCGAGTAGGTGGAACTACAGGAACACACCACCACGCTGGGCTTATGTTTTTTTAATTTTCATTTTTAGTAAGGATAGGATCTCACTATGTTGCCCAGGCTGGTCTCAAATTCCTAGGCTCAAGCCATCCTTGTGCCTTGGTTTCCCAAAGTGTGAGGATTATAGGTGTGAGCCACCAGGCCCAGCCCACAATCTTCTTATTGCCCTTCTTTGCTAAGCTTCTGCAAAGCTTAGCAAAAGCAGTGGCTTCTGCTCTTACTGAATTTAAAAATAGGTCATGACTTCAAAGAACCCCTGAGTTGGAAGGGTCCTTGACATTCTAAATGGTCAGTTAAGTCTCTACTGAACAATCGAAAGACAGTTTAATTCCTCTAAGAGTTACTCATTCCATTTTGAAATGTCAGAAAGTTCTTTATTCTGATTCAAAGTCTAAGACCCATAACATCCACCCCGTAATTATTTCTAAATCTGCCTTCTAAAATTCCAAAGAAAAGTTTAATTCTTCTTCATGACAGTCTTTTAATTATTTTAGAACAGAATAAAAAAAGAGAAAAGTGCCTTTGAAAGGTACTCTCCTGGTTTTCCAATCACCTCAATCCTTTTTTTCTACTATTCTTCCTTATACTTTATTTTCATATCTGAAGATAATTTAGTCTTTGGAGCTCAGTCCCTGATTCACTACATTTTTTTCCTCAGCGAACAAATCCTATTTTGACATTTGTATTTAACTGACTCATTTATCTATGTAGTTGTACCCAAACTGCAATCTTATATCTTCACTTGACCCTTCAGATATTCTCAATCTCAGCGAACAAATCCTATTTTGACACGTGTATTTAACTGACTCATTTATCTATGTAGTTGTATCCAAACTGCAATCTTATATCTTCACTTGACCCTTCAGATATTCTCAATCTCAGGTGAAGCATATTAATAACAATTTGACCATTTGGCCTGAATTTTTGTTTTATCTTCCCATATGCCTCCAATTTCTGTAATGATACTTCCAATTTCCCAGCTGCCTAGATAGAAAACTGAGATCATGTGATCACATATAGCTCTCCCCTTATTCTCTTCTGCATTAAACTGATTGAATCTTATTCTTTTTTTCTTTTTTGAGACAGGGTCTCGCTCTGTTGCCCCGGAGCGAGTACAGTGGCACAATCATGGCACACTACAACCTCTTCCTCCTGGGCTCAAGTGATCCTCCCACCTTAGCCTCCGAGTAGCTGGGACTGTAGGTGCATGCCACCATGCCTGGCTAATTTGTTTTTTGTTTTTTTTTTTTGAGACAATGTTTCCCTCTTGTTGCCCAGGCTAGAGTGCAGTGACATGATCTCGGTTCACTGCAACCTCCACTTCCTGAGTTCAAATGATTCTTCTGCCTCAGTCTTGCAAGTAGCTGGGATTACAGGAGTGAGCCACCACACCCAGCTAATTTTTGTATTTTTAGTAGAGATGGGGTTTCACCATGTTGGCCAAATTGGTCTCAAACTCTGGAACTGAGGTGACCCACCCACCTCAGCCTCCCAAAGTGTTGGGATTACAGGCGTGAGCCACCGCGCCCGGCCTATTTGTATTTTTTGTAGAGACAGCGTTTTACCATGTTTCCTAGACTGGTCTCAAAACTCCTGGGCTCAAGCGATCCACCCGCCTTAGCCTCCCGAAGTGCTGGGATTCCAGGTGTGAGCACTGTGCCCGGCCTAATTCTTTCTTCGAAATAAGGTCTTCATTATCTCATGCTTACACTGTTGCCATAGCTCCTCAAATGTTCTGTGGAGTTCTCTCTTAACACACCCTCCATCCTACCATCAGCCATAAGATTCATTTTCCTAAATAACAGACTTCAGAATCATTTCTCTATTAAAATTTTGATGGTTGTCCAATGCATAAAATGTAAACTCTAAGCTTCTCAATATAACTTTTAAGTTTTACAATAACTCCACTCTTAAGAATCCAACCTAATCTCTTTAATATTCTCTACTGCTAACTTCTCCCTCATGGTCTTGTACTATCCCATGTTTATTACTGGCTTTGTAAAAATCTTTTTAAACTTAAAAAAATGAAATAGAACACAGTAAAGTACATGAAACATAAATGTAGAGCATAATAATTATAAAGAGAACATCTACAGAACCATCACCCAAATCAAGAAATAAAACACTGCTTGCACCCCACAAGACTTTTTCTCATTTGACCCTTCTTGATCACACCCTAATCCCTTAGCAGTAATTGAAATTACTGCTGTGTAATTGTAATTTCATTGTTATAATTCAGGGTTTCTCAACCTTGCACTATTGACATTGGGAGTGATACTTTGTTGTGGTGGCTGTCCCATGTATTGCAGGATGTTTAGTGGCATCCCCTGCACCATCCATTAGAAGTCAGTAGTGCTTTCCCACAACCAAAAAATGTCTCCGGATATTGCCAAATGTCTCCTAGGAGGCAAAAATCACTCCTGGTAGAGGACTACTGAACTACTTCATTCACTTCCGTTACTCATTCATTCATGTGTTCCACTCTATGAATATATCACAGTTATTTTTCCAATCTACCACCATAAAAATAATGCTGTTATGAACACTCTTATAAAAGTCTTCAGAAGCATATACACATTCATTTTTCTAGAATGGGAATCGCTGGGTCATTTCTGTATAAGGCTCACCCGTTTTTCCAAAGTGGTTGTATTGTATGAGAAAATATACTGTTATATATGCTTCTCAAAAGCCTAAGTATTACCCATAAGATACTAAGGCTTAAGCAACTATAGAGATTTTCTCCCTCCCATCCAATGCACCAATTCCATTCCTGTAATTTCCCCCCATCCTCCAGCTCCTCCTTACCTTGTTTTCTACCCTAATTACAACTGTCCTTCAAGTCTTAGAGGATGTCCACCTTTTCGCAGGGGAGAACAACACTATCTCCTATTGCCCTCCCCTTTCCCTAAACTTGAATAGCATTTCTGAACCGATCTACTCATTTTTTGTTAGTCGCATACTCCCCAAAACGGTGAGCTCTTAAGCAGCACCAAAGCTGCCTTTTTATTTCTAATTTGAAATAAAAGATCCAGCCGGACGCGGTGGCTCACGCCTGTAATTTCAGCACTTTGGGAGGCCAAGGCAGGAGGATCGCTTGATCCCAGGAATTTGAGACCAGCCTGGGCAACACTGGGAACCTGTCTCCAAAAAAGAGAGGAGAAATAAAGAATCCCTTTCTGGCCTAAAGCAATCTAGCTACACATATATAAATGTTCAACAAAGATACCCTGAATGAATGAGAAGAGACAAGCTTTGCAACCTCCTGAGCCTTAAAGTAACTGAGATTTAAAAGGCAGTAACAGCCAGGAAATCTGAATTCTAGTCCTGGCTCTCATCCATGCAACTACAACGTGAACTTGGGAAAGTGATTTTCCCTCTCTGGACGTCGGTTTCTTCATCTGCAAAAGTGTTAGAACAGATGACCTCTGAGGTCCCCTGCAGCGCTAGAATTCTGTAAGAAAACTGAACTTCATCAAATCGAGCTTGAGAATGAGACCGGAAGTGGGGGTGGGGGAGTCTTTCGGTTGTCGACCGGGGTTGTGATGGCGGTGGGGTTCCTCTGCTCCTCCCTGGAGCTCAAGCGAACCGGCACGACAGCTGAGGTCAGCCGCCAGGGCGGAGACCAGAGGTGCTGACCGCCACAGGCCATCCCCGGTGAACCTAAATACCGCTACCGGGTCAACGGGACCGGCAGTGTGGGCGAGTCCGCCCCACGTACGGCCTCTCTGGGAAGGCCAGCCTGGGGTGTGAGACACCTCGGGGGCCTGCCGCCGGCCAAAAGAGAGCCCAGTCGCTCACCCGGTTGGGATATTCCTTCTCCACACAGTCTCCACACATCGCGACGCAGTCAACAGGAAACGTCCTCCAATGCTTCCGGGAAGACGAAACCTCGCGAGAGCTGAGATACGGTTACCGCATGCGCCCAAGTACTCGACTCCTAGGTCTTCCGTCTCGGGAACCGATCCGAAATCTCCGCCCCTTAGCAACTGTTGTCAGGGCCGGGCACAGTCTCCTTGGCACCGTGTGTCTGCAAAGGGTGGGGATCCAGAAACCTTTGAAGAAAGGGGAAGAAACCTTATGCACTGACAGATGTGGGGGGAAGGGAAAGCGGATTTTGGGCTGAGCGAAGTTCTCACAGACGCCTTCCTGAGCTTAAGCTGACAAGAAAGGCAAATCACAACACACGAGAGGGAATTATTTCTCGCTACCCTATATACAAATCTGAAATGTTAATAAATACCTTTCTGTACCATTTCTTAAGGCAATGAAAGTGAATAAGAGACCAGATCTCAGCAGGTGGATAAACAGTAACTGAAGTGTGGGAAGAGACACTTGGAGCGCTGCAGAAAATCTCCTAAAACGAACACTTAAAATATTAGTAATAATTAGCCGTTCCAGAGACCTCTGGGGGACATAGCAATGAGTAACGTATTTCTGTCTCTCTCAGGTGTCACAGATGCACCTCAGTGGCGGGCAAGCACTATGTAAATAGAAAAATGACCAGGTGAGTTTTCCCTGCATCGTTTCCCAATCCTGCGGATCTCAAAATCCTTTTGATTGGCGCCCCGCCTCTTTCTTTCTCTATGTATTGAAAGCATCTTATTATTGGCAACTATCTAATTGCATCAGAACAATGTGTCTTCATCACACCCCCTTACTCCAATGGGAAATCAGCATCTTCCCTCAGCCCTGCTTTATTGCTGTCATGTCAGTGAAGAAAGATTAGGAAGCAGGGGAGACTCTGGGATCCAGATGCCTTAAAAAAGAGATTAATAACCATTTCAAAGCACACCAGTTTAATTGGGGTTGTTACTATGGGAATTATTTTTCCACGAAAGCATTGAAATTGTAACCTTTAGTATTTCAACTTTTAGTAAGTATCTGCAACTGTTATTAAAAATCGTAGGTGTGCTAAGAAACACTGCATGATATAGAGCCATCAGAGTTTATTATTGGAATAATTATAATGCCTCCCATTTGTATGACACTTTCAGCCTTTCAAAAGTGTCCTCATTTCAGTTTGTAATTTTATGCTATTTCGACCCTATGTGATTGGTAGGAAAAATATGTCTTCTCTTTTCATATGAGGAAACCACAGAAGTGAGTGGTTAAAGGACTTGTCTACAGTAAGAAAGCTACTTTGTAGTAGTCGGCCAGAGCTAGGACTCTGTTGCTGTCCTTGGCTCAATTTCTATCTAATACAGTAGCGCTAGCCACTTATGGCTCTAAAGCACTTTAAATACGGCAAGTTTGAACTGAGATTGTGCTGTATGTACATTCTGCATGCTAGATTTGGAAGATTTAGTATTAAAATATGTAAAAATCTTAATAAATGTATATGGTTATGTTGAAATAATTTTTGACATACTGGGTTAAATAAATGTATTATTAAATTAATTTCACCTGGTTCTTTTTTTAATGTGGCTACTAGAAAATTAAAAATTATACATGTACCTTTCATATTCCTATTGGACAAGGCTAGTCTATTCATTTTCTTTTCTTTTCTTTTTTTTTTTTGAGACAGAGTCTTGTTCTGTTGCCAGGCGCCAGGCTGGAGTGCAGTGGCACAATCTCGGCTCACTGCAACCTCCACCTCCCCAGTTCAAGCAATTCTCCTGCCTCAGCCTCCCAAGTAGCTGGGACTACTGGCGGACGCCACCACACCTAGCTAATTTTTGTATTTTTAGAGACAGGGTTTCATCATGTTGGCCAGGATGGTTTCGATCTCTTGATCTGGTGATCTGCCCGCCTCGGCCTCCCAAAGTGCTGGGATTACAGGCTTGAGCCACCGCACCCGGCCTTTATTTTTCTTTTTTAAGGAAGTCTCACTCTGTCACCCAGGCTGGAGTGCAGTGGCATGATCTCGGCTCACTGCAACCTCTGCTTCCTGGGTTCAAATGATTCTCATGCCTCAGCCTCCCAAGTGGCTGGGACTACAGGAGCACACAACCACAGCCAGCTAATTTTTTGTATTTTTAGTAGAGACGGGGTTTCACCATGTTGGCCAGGCTGGTCTCAATCTCCTGGTCTCAAGTGATCCACCTGCCTCTGCCTCTCAAAGTGCTGGGATTACAGGCATGAGCCTCGGCCCCTGGCTCAATTCCCTTCATCCATTTTTAAATGCTTTCTCTGTTTTTAAAGCCTAATACTGACTTTTAATCCTTTCCTATTCCCCAGATACTCACAGTTTAGTCTGAGAGATAAAATGAGCATGAGTACCAATAATTACTGGCAGATTGGGGTATAAGAACACAAAATGGTGAGACTTCACCCACGTAGAGGATTAGGAAAGAGGAATTTGGGCCTTAAAGCATGTATAGGATTTCAAAAAGCAGAGTTTTCTTTTGTTTGGTATAGAAATTTCAGGTGGACCATGCCAAGGAGTTTGGATTGTATTCTGCATGTGGTAGAGAGCCACAGAAGGTTTGAGCAGGAGAGTGTTGCCAGAGTTGTGGTTTAAAATTATTTTAGGTTTAAAATGATGAAGGCTCACACCTGTCATCCCAGCACTTTGGGAGGCCAAGGCAGGAGGATAGCTTGAAGCCAGGAGTTCAAGACCGGCTTGGGCAACATAGTGAGACTCTGTCTTTACAAAAAATTTAAAAATTAACCTAGTGTGGTGGTGTGCACCTGCAGTCCTAGCTACTCAAGAGGCTGAGGCAGGAAGATCTCTTGAGCCTAGGAGTTTGAGGCTGTAATGAGCTATGATCATGCCACTGCACCCCTGCCTGGACAACAGAGCGAGATCTTGTCCCTAAATAAATAAATAAATAAACAAGAAGATTATTTTAGCTGTAGTTTATTGGGACTTAATGGAAGTGTAAAAAAAAATGGACATGCGAAAGGCAGACGCTAACAGGAACCACAAGGGGGAGATGTATAGCTTTCTGCCTCAACACTGAGCATGTACACGACAAAAATTAATTAATTAAAAATTACACTACAGTCATAGATCTTAAAGAGTATACCCATTAGTATGAATTGATTTCACAATCTAAGGCACGAAAGACAATCTACATGTTTATAAAATTTTTTTACCTTCCCAGAGTTATATCATAACTTGTTATTAAAATGAGCAAGATAAAAAAAATGATCATCATATTCATGGTCACAAAAGCTCAAGAGCTCAGGGCTATCTGTCCAGTGAAGTCCTCCATTTAAATCTAGCCACATTCAGAGAAGAGAGGCAGGAAATGAGACTCGGGGGAGGAGGTAGACAGGACCAGAAATTAAAGTGTGATTGTGGTAATGGGAATACAAAATTATCTGAGGCTGACAGATGGAAGAAAGGAAAATAGAGGCTACAAAGCAGAAGGAGATTAGCACCTGAATGAAATGAACAAGTAGTGGTGTAACATAAGAAAAACAGTAAAAAAAAAAAATCTATTTCCTTTTCTCTTATAGGTAACTATATAAAATAAAGTTTGCAGAATCAGTTTTATATTCTAACAGAATTTTCTCTGGGACAATACCCTGCTTTTATGTGTCTTTAATAAATAGGTGATGTCCATGATGTATATCAAACATACAATGTTGCAGTTCATGTATGAGATCATCTCTTGTTAAAGAAATTGATTAAAGAAAATCTAAATGTTAAAATGGCCCTAACTGCTGGCTCAATTACATGTGCTAAACTACATCCCTGGGGCAAGATGAGGGATTTCCCTAAAGAGTGCAGTTTGAATCTCCTTTCAACACCTTCTGTTTTTTCTTCTGCCTTATAATGCCAAGAGACTAAAAGGATACAATGCTGATCCTATCTATTCTTTTCATCTTTTGTTGAAAGGAATGAAAAAGTGCCCCAGCCTTTATGGTAACATCCTCAGGCCAGTTTCACAGATGGAGGAGAGGATGCTCATCTCCAAGCAGAAGCTCATCTGCTTGGTGAAGGTATAGGTCATTCTTTCCATTGTGTCAGGCAAAGTGTGAAATAAGAGGCTGTGGTTATCTTCACCTGATGTCACCTGCCAGATATGAATGAATTAGCAGTAATTCTGGGTTAACACAGTGAGTACTGTGAGCCTGGCTGAGGACAGGTCCAAAAGCAGTCCTAGAAGTTCAGGGTCAGCAGGTTTTTATCTTAGCTCAGTGGCAGAGTTAGACTTTCTTACTTTTAGGGTTCTCCCGCCCAACTTCAGGCTACTTCCCCATTCAGATAATAAACTCCAGGCTTTCAAATACATTTATTTATTTATTGCTTTTTAAAACTTTATTTCAACATAACTATGCTTACAGAAGTACATTCATATTGGTTAATTAAATGCAATTTAAGTTTAAACTTATCCTGTGCAATTTGAATAAAAAACTTGGTTCATGGTTTTAGACTTTAAAAATGATTTTCAGTCTGGTTTATTTTTTGTCTATTACAAATGTATAAAAGATCCCCCATCAAATGCTGCAAAAACCTTGAGAAAATTACCTTTGGTTTGCCTCAGAAAAATAACATGCATTGCACTGCATGCTATTTTAAGTTTATAAAATTGGTGCAAAAAAATTGTTGTAATGCTTCAATTCTAGTTTAGAAAGTTCAATAACTAATAAATATGGAAATAGGTGTGAAGGAGCCTATGCACACATATGAAACTGTAAATATCTAATTTAGGTAATATTACATGTAGATTATAAATCCACACACACCAAGATTCAGATAATTTCTTCAATCTGAACTAACACTATGTGTTCACTTCATCTTCTGAGGTCAGTCAGGGAACTGGACATAGTAGTTGTTTTTCTGATGTATGCAAAAAAGAAAATTGAGTTTCTTCCTCAGCTTTTCAGTCCAGAAGTCACTGTACTATGAGCAAGGTATTCCTTATGTTGTTTGCCAACATTCATGCAGTGACATACAATGAGGTCTACTTGGGTTTTAATTTGTATCAGCACTCATATCCAAAATAGTCTACAAAGTTAATGACCACATGAATTTAGAAGTGACTCCAAAAAATAAAATGGCCCTGCTTAGAAGATTAGAACAAAACATTCAGCAATAGTTATAAGAAGTCTTATAAAAAAAAAAGGCAGCCCCTTGTGAATTATACCTCAATTTTTAAAAGTAGCCCCCAAATAAGAAGTAGCTCTGAAAAACAAAGAGAAAAAAATATAACTTAAAATATCTTTAAAACTAGTGTGGATATAGGTTCGAAAGATGAGTTAAAAGAAATTCATTTGCTTAAGTCTAGCTAGGATAAAGGCTTACAGGCTATTCTAGTATTTCAAGTTTGTTACTAGTTACTAAACATCAATTTACAAATAACATGTCCATTTTTTCAAACATACGACATTTAAAAGCAAGGGAATAGCCATTATTTCCCTCTGATTCTGTTTTTTTGTTTGTTTGTTTACTCTCCTCACTTTTTTTCAAATATAGATGATCATTTCCATACAAAGTTTTCATGACATATGTCAAAATTTCTTTAATTTTAGCTTCTGGGGAAATATTATCTTTCAAATCTTACATGGATTGGAGTGGATTTTTAAAAATATTTTATGTATGTATGTATATAGAGATGGGTCTCACTGTGTTGCCCAAGCTAGTCTCGAACTCTTGGGCTCAAGCAATCCTCCTCCCTCAGCCTCCCACAGTGCTTGGATTATAGGCATGAGCCACCACAACTAGCCAGAAGGAATTTAATAATCAAAATGTAATTGGGTTTTGATATTTTACTGTGGGTTTTTTTCTTCCCCCAGTGTGTGCCTCAAGGATATAATAAGACTTAGAGCAGCTTTTGTTCTCTTCTACCTATACATGGACTCTAAGAGGTAGAGTTTGGAATTTTTAGAGAAACTGGGGAAGTGAGGAAAGGGAAGTCAAGAGACCTCTGTTTTGTCCTGGAGAATGGCTAGCAGATGGAGGGTTTACTTCAGGGTAACCCAGGCACAAAATTCACAGTAATTAAAAAACTTGGGTAGTGTTGAAAAGAGTAGTTTTGATTTGGAATGGAGAAGGGGTACATAGAAGCGGCAAGGAATATTTGGAAAATAACATGGGGATATAAAGTTAAAATATTAGATTTCAGTCCTCATTATAACAATATAATTCGAGGGCCCTAAACAAGTTGCCTTCAATTTTTTCATCTGTAAAATAATGACAATAATAAATACACCTATCACACAGGCTTGCTTTATAAAATGAACACAAATATTCTTGATATATGTTTTTACATATGACTTAAAGGTTTTAAGAAAATAACTCTAGCCTAGGCCAGGCAAGGTGGCTCACACTTGTATTCCCATCACTCTGGGAGGCCGAGGCGGGCGGATCATGAGGTCTGACGTTTGAGATGAGTCTGGCCCACACGGTGAAACCCTGTCTCTACTAAAAATACCAAAAAAAAAAAAAAAAAAAAAAGATAGAAAAGAAAAATAACTCTAGCCTTAATCCTGAGGTAGCAGAAGGAAGGACAATAAATTAAGGAAGAGGACTGGTAATAACTCAAACTGCCTGATGTGTGAATGCATGTCTGCTGTAGTGGGTAATATGAGACTGTGTACTTAACAAATTTGTACAAAGTGATTTGTATGTAACTGGAGAGACTGAGTGAGCATGTTGTGTTGGAGAGGATGCTGTGGTAGAAGCGTTATGTTAGAGAAGAAACCACAGGAGCTGGAGAAAATGAAAGGCCAGGCTCCTCCAGGAAGTGGATTTGGAATGTTACATCAAGGCACAAAGAGAAAGGGATCCTTTCTTGGAAGTGCTACTTTGGGCTCTACCTAATCACAGATTCCCAACCCTTCTAGTTCTTTGTCCTTTTTTCTCTTTACAAAATCTTCTTTGAGAACTAATGAGAGGGCCAGGCACAGTGGCTCATGCCTGTAATCCCAGCACTTTGGGAGGCCATGGCAGGTAGATCGCTTGAGGCCAGGAGATGCAGACCAGCTGGCCAACGTGGTAAAACCTTATCTCTACTAAAAATACAAAAAATTAGCCAGGTGTGGTGGCACATGCCTGTAGTCCCAGCTACCCAAGAGGCTAAGGCAGGAGAATCACTTGAATCTGGGAGGTGGAAGTTGCAGTGAGCTGACATCGTGCCACTGCACTCCAGCAAGGGCAAGAAAATGAGGCTCTGTCTTAAAAAAAAAAAAAAGAATGAGAAAGTGCATAGCAAGGTTTGAAAGAACTGAGGCATATTATTAAGCAACTGTAGTAGATGGTGCCAAGAATGTAACAGTATCATAAATCTCATTATGTCACTGCTTTAAAAGCTCCGTGATTCTCTCTCTCTTTTTTTTTCTTTTTTAAGATGGGGTTTCACCATGTTGGTCAGGCTGGTCTTGATCTCCTGACCTCAGGTGATCCACTCACCTTGGCCTCCCAAATTAATAACAGTTTATTAATTCCCCTATTATAGTATACACAATCAGCTCTTGACTGCAAACTTGAGAATCATGCTTGTTTCCCAGGGTTGTACCAGACACACAGGTGCTCAGTAAATATTTTTTGATTGATTACAAAAGCTGAACATGCAGTTTCACTCTTCCTACCACCTTACTCCAAATTCCATAGCCAAAGGCAGCTACCATTCCACCTATCTCATTTGGGTTTTGCTCTGTGCATTCCAGGTCTTTGCTTTCAACAGTTTTGAAATTTGAGAAGGAAAACAAACAAAAATAATTAGGAAAGTTTTGGTTAGAAATTAGTATCCCTTTTTCATTGAATTACCAATAATTTAATTGCTAAATCATGTCTTCATTCTGTGCCCACCAGAAGGAAGATTCTGCCTAAGACATGGATGACTCGACAAGGAGAACAACATGCCCCAATATCATTCGATTTAACACCTCATTGCTCTCTAGGAAATGATCTGTAAACTTAGAAGTTTGCTGCTTCATTCCTGGAAGTTTAGCAACAGCTTCCTGACTTCAATTGGTTCTTTTCTTTTTTTTAGATAAAGTTGCACTTGTATTGCCCAGGCTGGAGTGCAATGGCGCGATCTTAGCTCACTGCAAACTCTGCCTCCCAGATTCAAGCGATTCTCCCACCTCAGCCTCCCAAGTAGCTGGGATTACAGGCACGTGCCACCACACCTGGCTAATTTTTTACATTTAGTAGAGACGGGGTTTCACCATGTTGATCAGGCTGGTCTTGAACCCCTGACCTCAGGTGATCCACCTGCCTTGGCCTCCAATAGTGTTGGGATTACAGGTGCCAGCCACCATGCCTGGCCTTCAATCGGTTCTATACACTACTTTGTGTATCTCTTTTATAAATAATTGGATCCAGCCAGGTGTGAGGGCTCACACCTGTAATCTCAGCACTTTGGGAGGCCAAGGAAGGAGGATTGATTGAGCTAGGGAGTTCAAGACCAGCCTGGGCAACATGGCAAGACCCTATCTCTACAAAAACTACATAAATTAGCTGGGCAGTGGGTGTGGTGGCGTGTGCTTATAATCCCAGTTACTTGGGAGGCTGAGGTGGGAAGATCACTTGAACCTTGGAGGTTGAGACTGCAGTGAGCTGTGATTGCACCATTACACTGCAGCCTGGATGACAGAGACCTTGCCTCTAAATACATACATACATACATACATACATACATACATACATACATACATACGTAATGGTTTTTGTTGACTTGGCTGAAGGAAGGTAGTTACTCTTTTACGGGCAAGGTGTCTATATCAGAGAGTGTTACATTTCAAAATTCAGAATGGTGCTCAAAATGTAAATATACCTGGAAGAAGTAATATGATGATATTAAAGCTCAGGAATTCACTTTCACTCAGATAATGTTTGGGGTACCTGCCTTAGGCTCACTTTTCACAATCAGGGTGCAAGGCAAGAAAAACCAGTGACCACAGTACAGTGTAATAACTGCTCTTTGGAATGCTCCTGGGGCCCAGAGAAAGGGCAGCCTGGGAGAGGTCAGAGAGAGGAAGGGACACAGTCTCAGCAAAGATTTTCAAGAAGCGCTGATCCATCCACAGACTCTAAGCTTAGACTTAGGGAACGTTGGGCGGGGTGTTCCTCCGACACAAGGAACAACATGTGCAAAAGTGCAGAAATGCTGAGGCAAGTTTGGAAGGGGTGGTACCTAGGGGAGGTTGCACAAATCTAAGTAACGTCACATCCTTTCATGAAGAGGATGAAGTTTTGACCCTTTAGTCAGGGGACGTTGGCTTCAAAGTTATGCCTCGGCCCACCATCTGTCAAGGTTGTGTAACAGATTTTAAATTGCTCAGGCTTCTTCCTACCATATACCAGGATCACACTTTCCACCAAAGAGGTGGTGTGGAGACACATAAATGTGGACTCACAGCCCAGCTTGGTCACTTACTAGCCATGATGAAACATGTGGGAAAGGTACTACTAACTTCTCTGCTCCCTTTCCCTCATTTGCAAAATGGGAATGCGCCTTCCTCACAGAGCTGCTGTGAGAATTAAAGAAGAGAATCCACATAACCCAGGGTCTGACATATGTATTAAGTATTCCATAAATGTTAGCTATGATCATGAAGATGATTCCAATCGACCTAATACAGATGTAAAAAGAAGTGCCTAGTAATCAAGGGGTGGTAATTAACTGCAACCCCATGAGAATCCCAGAGCTAGGAAAAGTCTTGAGAAGTCACTTAACGTATTGCTCTGCATCTAAGATCAATGCTTAAATCAACACTGTTTGACCCTACCTACCACCAAGGGCTCTAATTATACTCAAGGAGAGATGGGGAGTAGAGGGAAGGGGTGAAATAAAATCACAAGTAGAAAGAAGGGAATGAGAGATAAAGGGAAAAGGAAGCGAAATTAGGACAAATGAGACAGAAGATACACTTTTGTGGCAGATCTACCATTAAACTCGCCTATTCCTGGCTTCAATCTTTCAAGGCAAGTGATGACTTCAAGTTAAAAAAGAACCAACGGAGGCTGGGCTCATGCCTATAATTCCTTTGTGAAGCCAAAGCGGGCGGATCACAAGGTCAAGAGATTGAGACCATCCTAGACAACATAGTGAAACCCTGTCTCTACCAAAAATACAAAAATTAGCCAGGCGTGGTGGTGCATGCCTGTAATCCCAGCTACTCAAGAGGCTGAGGCAAAAGAATTGCTTGAACCCGGGAGGCAGAGGTTGCAGTGAGCCGAGATTGTGCCACTGCATTTCAGCCTGGCGACAGAGTGAGACTATTTAAAAAAACAAAACAAAGGAAGAACTAGGAACTCCAAGAAGTCAATATATCCAATAATTCTAGAGAGGTCCAGGTATTAAAAGATCATAAGGAGAAGGAGTCATCTTTTATCTTTTTTTTTTTTTTTTTGAGATGAAGTTTTGCTCTGTTGCCCAGGCTGGAGTAAAGTGGAGCAATCTTGGCTCACTGCAACCTCTGCCCCGCTGGATTCAAACAATTCTCCTGCCTTAGCCTCCCTAGTAGCTTGAATTATAGGTGTTCACCACCACGCCCGGCAAATTTTTGTATTTTTAGTAGAGACAAGGTTTACCATTTTGACCAGACTGGTGTCGAACTCTTCACCTCAGGTTACCCACCCACCTTGGCCTCCCCAAGTGCTAGGATTACAGGCATGAGCCACCGTTCATGGCCATCTTTTATCTTTTCTAATGAGCTCTTTTTAGTGCGTGCGTGCGTGCGTGCGTGCGTGACGTTCTCTCACTGTTGTCCAGACTGGAGTGTTAATGCCATCATCTTGGCTGGCTGCAACTTCCGCCTCCCGAGTTTAAGCGATTCTCCAGCCTCAGCCTCCTGAGTAGCTGGGATTACAGGCGAGCACCACTTTGCCTGGCTAATTTTTGTTGTTGTTTTTAGTAGAGAAGAGGTCTCATTACGTTGCCCTGGCTCTAAGAAGCTCGTTATCAAACTCGAGAATATTTAGCGAATCTCTAGACAGACTATTGTGTGTATTAAGACTACTTACTGATACTATGAAGGGCTCAGAGACTCTCATAGTTACAAACAAAAATGCTAGACCAAACATTTACAGGTGAGATTTCTCTGAGAACCAAATTTTAGAGGTGTAGTCAAAGGGAAACATCCTTATATCATCCCATGTACAAATCAATGAATTCTGTTGGTCGTCACCTATTTATTTGGTAGGTGGAATTTTAGAAAGGCACAAACTGTCAGTAGTTTGAACAAAATGGTGTTCCTTTCTGGGGCTTTTGAACATCGACTCACACCCCTATGTAACTCTTACCTGCTACTCTTTTGTTGCATTATTCTGTGAAGTATTTAGTCCTGAGAGATGATTCTGTCCTAATTATCTTTTACCCACATGTCCGTCTTTTTCCAGTCTGCCTTCTAGTTCATTTTCAGAGCATTCGCTCTTATGACCACTGTCTTGTTCTGTTTTGTTTTGTTTTTGGATCTTCCTTTTCTTCCTTTAGTTACTGGCAGTTGAGCACGGATAATTCTGAACCGGGGCCAGGTGCTAATTAAGCAAAATAAGTGAAGCAATTCAAAAATTCCAACGACTTGGTTTCAGGTGAGTTAGCCATCACAGCATTTTCTTAGGTGTAATTTTATTTTTATTTGATTTCTGTGAGTCCTGTGGTTGGGGCTGTCGTCTTTCTGCTGTGTGACAAACAATGCTAAAAGGATTCAGCAGCTAAGCAAACAGGGCAGAGCCATGTGCCACAGGCCTCAACCCAGTCCTCAGCAAAATCTTGAGGAAATTTTTTGATGTCACTATCTGTTTCTGGGGACATAGAGGTTTTTGTGTTTTTGCCAGAATGAAAATTGGGTAGTGAATTTTCCGCCTTTGAAAGTTACTCCTAACTTATGTTTCATTCCCAAATAACAGAGTAAAGATATCATCATGATGAACAAACAATTTTTAGTGTATATTACGTGTAAGATGCTGGCCAGGCACCAGAACACAGAGAGAGAAGACATAATTTATGCTCACAAGATTTCCTATCTTGAGGAGGTGAGATAGATGCATTTAAATACATACATATATTCAACAAGCAAATAAAAACTACCGGATAGCACATGTTAAGTGCGAAATGGGTAATATATAAGTAGGTTGGCCATATGGCCCAGCTTGTCCTGACAGTCCCAGTTCCTACCTTTGGGTTCAGAGTAATTGTGACCTCTTTAACTAGCAAACATTACAATCTGGATGGTAAATTATATGCTCACATATGTACCAATGACTATCTAGGAATCCAGAGGAAGGGTGATTATTGGGCAGTTGGTGGTGAGTTTTTGAAACTGGTAGAACTTGAGTTGGGGCCGGGCGCGGTGGCTCACACCTGTAATCCTAGCACTTTGGGAGGCCGAGGTGGCTGGATCACCTGAGGTCAGGAGTTCAAGACCAGCCTGGCCATCATGGTGAAACCCCATCTTTAAAAGAAAAAGAAAAAAAAAAAGAACTTGAGTTGGGCCTTGAAGGAAGAGTTAGAGTAGAGGCAAGGGGCAAGTAGTCTACAGGGAGAAGATCAAGAACAAAGGCACCAGCCAGGCCTGGTGGCTCATGCCTGTAATCTCAGCACTTTGGGAGGCTCAGGTGGGCAGATCATTTGAGGTCAGACCAGCCTAGCCAACATCGTGAAACCCCATCTCTACTAAAAAAAAAAAAAAAAAAAAAAAAAATTAGCCAGGCATGGTGGCAGGCACCTATAATCCCAGCTACTCAGGAAGCTGAGGCAGGAGAATTGCTTGAGCTCAGGTTGCAGTGAGCTGAGATTGTGCCACTGCTCTCCAGCCTGGGCAACAGAATGAAACTCCTCAAAAAAAAAAAAAAAAACAAAGACACAAAAGTGGACATGGGAATAAAGTGCAGTCACTGCACAACTCCAGGGGACACTGTTCACATTATATCCTCTGTGAATAGTATCCCCTGAAATGTGCAAGTGTCAGCTCTAAGGGTATGTCATATTTGGGAGCAGTTGGAAAAGTAGCTGGAGAAGAGAATTTGTGTAGAGGGTTTGTGTAAGATAAGAATAAAAACAAGTATTAGCTGGTTGTGGTGGTGCATGCCTGTAGTCCCAGCTACTTGGGAGGCTGAAGCAGGAGGATCATTTGAGCCCAAGAGGTTGAGGCTTCAGAGAGCTATGATCACACTACTGCACTCCAGCCTGGGTGACAGAGCAAATCCCCATCTCAATTTAAATTTTTTTTTTAATAATGAAAAGAAGTAAAAAACAGATAGTGGAGGATGTTAAATGCCAGGTTAAGAAATGTAACTTTCATGCTCTAGGTGGTAGGAATCTAACTGAAGAGTTTTGAGTAGGAAATGATACCTACAACAAAATATTTTTGAAATAGTAATATTCCCAATGAAACTGCTCAATGTATTAAAAGGAAAAGGAAGACAAAGGAAAAGAACTAGTTTCAAAACTATTGGAAATGCATAGGAGAGAAATGATGAGTCTTAGCTAAGTAGTGGCAGTGGAAAAGGGATAGGAAGAGAGACTTCAGAGAATTTGCAAAGGCAGGATTGGTAAGAGTTTGGTAACTGGCCAACTATGCAAGGAGAGGGAGCCGTCAAGAATGACTCAAGATTTCCAACGTAACTGAGAAAACGGTGGTATCATTGATGAATGTGCGGAAGTTGAGAAGAGGGAGGACTTAAC